AGTGCTGATTTCCACAGCTTTAGCAGCTCTTCATGGTGATCCGTTAAGTGGACACTTGAATGCAGAGCGCACGCTCCAAAGAGCTAGGCGGATCTGTTATTGGCCATACATGACACGGGATGTCCATGTTTTTTGTTCTGAGTGTCTCCCATGTCAAAAACGAGCATCTCCAATACCACATGAGCGTGCTCCGTTACAATGTATCGAGACAGACAGACCTTTTCAAAAAGTAGCCGCAGATATTACTGAACTACCTATAACATCACAGGGTAATAGGTATGTGTTAGTTATTACAGACTATTTTACACGTTATGCAAATCTATTTCCACTAAGAGACCAACATGCAATTACAGTTGCAAAATGTATCTTTGAGGCCTATGTCAGACAAACATGGCTTGCCTGAGTCAATCCATACAGACCAGGGTAGGCAGTTTGAATCCAATCTTGTCAAACACTTGTGCAGGTTACTGGGGATAACCAAAACACGCACTACCCCATATCATGCACAGTCAGATGGCATGGTAGAAAGATTAAATAGGACCTTAAAAGACCAACTTTCTAAGTACATAGCACAAACGGGTGGTGAATGGGATCAGTTTCTTCCTCAAGTGGAACTTGCATACAACTCAAGTGTACACTCAAGCACAGGATTTTCCCCATTCTTCCTTGTGCATGGTAGGGAACCAAACTTGCCATTGGCTGTTGTTTTAAACTGTAGTCCCAGTGTGACAACACCTACACCAAGTACACCTGCAGCATATGCTTCATATTTAGCTTCACGTTTGAAATATGCATTTGCTGACTCTGCTTACAAATCCACAATTAGTAAGTTACGTCAGAAATCCCAATATGACAAAAAGGTTGTGTTTCACCCACATGAGCAAGGGGACCTTGTGCTACTAGATGACCCTGCTAACAAAATGAATAAGTTGGCTCCGAGATGGAAAGGGCCGTTTGTTATTTTGAAACGTGTGACACAAGATGGACTTCCAGGTGTGACTTATGAAATTACAGATCCTAAGAAAGCACATTCACGGACATGGATTGTACACCACAACAGACTCAAGGCATTTAAAGGAACTATGCAGAATGTTGTGGATATGAACGGGACGATTTCACCCGGCTTGGACAATGCTCCGGCAGCTCCTCCCCTTACTGCTTTATCAGGGGCCCTGCCGTTTCACCCTCCTACTCCGCCATATGTGCCTTTACGATGTAGGCAGCCTGAGACTGCACCTGCGGTAGAGCCCACTCAGAGCGTTCCACCATCACCCCATGTTTCTAATCCCTCTACTTCCAGCTCTGTGTCCCCGCCAGCCTCCCCCATCTCCCGACCTTGTGTGACCCGCTTTGGTCGTAGTATTTGTTGTCCACAAAAATACAGAGACTTTGTGACATAATACGGTATATGTAAAAAAAAAAAAAAAAAAAAAAAAAAAGTGCACAGTCTGTTGTTGTTTTGACAGTGCAGTGCACCTATGGTCATACCTGTGTTTCATATATGCATGGTCTGCATTTTTGGTTGTACTACAGCACTTATATATGTTCTGTTTGAAATGAGGACATTTTATTTGTAGCAGGGGAAGACTGTAACATAGATTTTTGTAATTACTTATTTACATTTGGGTAATCTTAATATTATTTGAGTATATTAGTTCATGATTTTCTGTTATTGATTAATATTGTTTTATTAGTATTTGTTTCAACACTGTTTGTCAGAGAGAGAGAGAGAGAGAGAGAGCGCGCCCCCGTGTGCGCGTGAGACGGAGTGGAAAATAAACCGAAGAGCTGAACTTTTACTGTCCTGCCGTTTGGTTATTTTAGCAAGGAAAATTTCGAGATAGAACACTGTTTTTTTATTATAAATTGTAACCCACACACCCACAGCCTCAAGAACTGGTGAGCAACAAGAAATCAGGGTTACACTTATGACGTCGGACCTGCAGAACACGTGACCGCCCTCGGCGCTCACGGTGTGACGCAGGGGCCCCCCCGGCCCTTTCAGCCACCCCCCCTCCCTGCTAGGAACACCAGGAGGGGGCGGGGCCATGACGTCTCGTGTTCCAGCTCCCGTTCCGCCCCTCACAGATTTCTACGACATCTGGAAGGAGCAGGGCTTACTGTCAGATGCACATTCTGACACACTGCTGACCAGACCTCACATGTTGCATCTGTGCAGTAACAGAGCTATTGACTTAATAATTCCATATTCTGCTTTCTTACTATTTCTTTCCCTGATTCCAACTGTGCTTTTTGACACTTTAGGAACCACCAGAAGTCTGACATTTTGCAAGTGCTGGGCTTGATTTGGTTGATATGATACTATGTGGTGAAGAGGGAGCAGCGTCTGCGTTCAGAGCTGTATCGGACTGTTGTGGTACGAAGGAGCTGAGTTGTTGGAGGGACTGTGTCTCTCAGCTGGCCTGGAAACGCCTCGAGATTCCCCAGATGAGCTGGAGGTAGTGTGTGTGGAATCAGAATCAGAATCATTTTTATTGCCATGTAAGTAACAGGAAGTCACAGACTAGGAAATTGCCTTGGCTCGGTGCAACAGTCAGAAAAGAGAGGTAAAGAATAGATAATAAAAATCAGCATATACACTCTAAGGTATAACATTTAAAATAGAATTACTATATACAAGGAAAGGGAAGTCTGGGCATCTCTGCTAAGGCTGCTGCCTCCACAATCCGGCAACGGATGAAGCAGAAGAAAATGGATGCATGGATGGATGATGATAATGATGTATATATTCTTCATATTATATTTCAGCTCAGCACTCTGAAAACGAAATATGCTTTTCTAATAATTTCCACAAAATCAACTATTTACTTAGATGCCGAAATGAAGCCTTTTTTGCATTCAAATCACAAAAACAAAAGTGAAGTGTTGTAAACCTGCTGCTGTCCTGCCCACAGTGCAGCGCGGAGCAGCCACGTAAACATGCAGCCCTCAGCATTAGCCGCTAGCATGTAGCATCTGCTCTCAAACCGGCCTCTCTTCAGACACATGTGAATTTTACACACTTTACAGGTGAGAACAGATACTGAAAGGATGTATTTACTCCGTACACGTGTCCGTAGTCGTAAATATTGTGGTAAATGTGATTAAAAGTGGTGCTAACGTCATGCTAACCTAGGCTAACAGGAAATGCTAACATCTAGAATGGGTTGATATCAGCGAAACTTCTCGTGATAAATACATGTTTTTTACGTGAATATGATCTGAAATATGAAATAACGTGGTGTTTTTATTAAGAGCATTTAGTTATTGTTTGAATGCATGTTTTTGAGCATACACCAGCTACGTGCTAATTGCTAACACTGTAAACAACATAAGCTAGTGTGTCCTAAGACCTGGCTAACGTAATGAATGAACTATTATCATGTTAAAAAGTGATGTACAATTAAATGCACACTGTTACTTTTCTAAAAACGCTCTGAGTTTGTTCATAAATATCTTTCTCTCAAGTCCTTGGAACTGTCCGTGGTTCTTAGAAATAATAACATGCTGTGAAGCTGAAGTTAGTTGTAAACAGTGTTAACCTTTGTCTTTGCAAAACCTCCTGAATCTGATACAGTTGAAACTCTACAGCCTTCATTAACAAAGAAAACACTGGTTTAATAGTAAAACATATTGTAAATGGAGTAGATCAGAATATGTGAGGGCTAAAATAACTGTTCATGCGTTTTTTACTGAACCACTTTTTCCACATGATGCAAATTGCAAGATGTCAAACGATTCAAACTTATATTATTTTGTATTTTAAATTATTATTTCGAAACTGATGAAGTGGAAGTAGGCAGACTGGGATTACATTGGTCTTATTATATCTATTTTAGGGATGTACCGATCCGATATTCAGTATCGGGGCCGATATGGGTATTTTGTAAGGATCGGATATTATCGGATTTGTTAAATATCGGCGAGTTTACATTTACAGTTCACACACTGGTTAAGTGCTGGCGCTTTGTGGTCCTTCAGTTATGTACCTGCTCTTTTCTTTTGGTTATTCTGAATGTTGAGGACTGCTTTTTGATAATTCTTCCTCTTTGATACTTCTTTTATTTTAAGTTTATTTTAAAGATGAAATATTCAATACTGATGTGATTCTTACCTATGAACTAACTCAGAAGGTCTGTTTAAACCAAAAGCCAAACAATATTGTTGATTATGTTATAATAAAAAAATACATTTTAAAGTAATACTGGTTGCAACTAGAGCTGCAACTAACGATTATTTTGTAATCGATTATTTTTACGATTAATCGAGTAATCGCTTGGCTGTAAATTGTGTAGAAAAAAATAATTTTTTCATCACAAAAAGCTAAAGTGGCAACACTCGAGGACGTATTGATGGCGTAAACTTAAAGTAAATGTTTGTAACAGGCTCTTTGTGCTAATTCTGCTCTGATTGGATGAGACAGACAGATATTTATGAAATTATAAAAACAAAGTCGGTTTTAATCAAAAATACTAAATTTTCATGTCATTTTTGCTCTGTTTGAGTCCGTGTGAACCAGAAAACGATTAATCGATTACTAAAATAGTTGTCGACTATTTCAATAATCGATTAGTCGTCGATTAATCGATTAGTTGTTTCAGCCCTAGTTGCAACATTTTTAATGCTTTGAAAATATTAGAAAAAATTGGATTGGTATTGGCAAAACAATATTTAAGAATATCGGAATCGGATCGGATTACAAAAAATCTGGATCGGTACATCCCTAATCTGTTTTACAATGGTCTTCTGTTTTATTCGATGCTGGGTTGTGGGAGCAGTGTAAGCAGAGACGCCCAGACTTCCCTTCCACACACACTCTTCCCGAGGCGTTCCCAGGCCAACTGAGAGACCCAGTCCCTCCAATGTGTCCTGACTCTTCCCCCCTGGATCTTTCTCTCCGTGGAGGGATCCCAAACAGTCGCCTTCATCAGTGATTTCTTCTCTTGCAGCTCCCGGCCTCCTCTCAGCGTCTGCATGTAGTTGGATGTTGCGCGGTTACCATGTCGACGGTGGTGTTTGCTTCGGTGGTGCGAGTCAAAGATGGCCTCCCTCTCTCCGCCTCCACGGATTACGAACAGGATGCGGAGCTGCAGGAGACCAAGAGGCACCTCAAAACTCTGTCCAAGAAACTGGGCCAGCTCCCGGACCGCTGCTGCCTCAAGTCTGGGCCCTACAACGTCAAGTAGGTTTACCCACAATCCACCAATGTTATTTACAGAGCGACATCCAAACCCTTTACCAGATTATAAACTGCTACTTTTTTCTACTTCTTTTAACCCCGCGGCTTATATAGCGAAGCGGCTTATATAGCGAAGCGGCTTATATAGCGATGCAATTTATATAGCGATGCGGCTTGTATAGCGATGCAGCTTGTATAGCGATGCAGCTTGTATAGCGATGTGGCTTGTACAGCTTGTATGGTGATGCAGCTTATGTGGTGGCACGGTTATGTGGCGATGCGGCTAGTATGGCGATGCGGCCAGTATGGCGATAGCGATGCGATTTATACAGCGCTGCGGCTTTTATAGCGATGCGGCTTGTATAGCGATGCGATTTATATAGCGATGCGGCTTGTATAGCGATGCAGCTTGTATAGCGATGTGGCTTGTATAGCGATGCAGCTTATATAGCGATGTGGCTTGTATAGCGATGCAGCTTGTATAGCGATGCGGCTTGTATAGAAGTGCGGCTTATATAGCGATGCAGCTTGTATAGCAGTGCGGCTTGTATAGCGATGCAGCTTATATAGCGATGTGGCTTGTATAGCAATGCAGCTTATATAGCGATGCAGCTTATATAGCGATGCAGCTTATATAGCGATGTGGCTTGTATAGCAATGCAGCTTATATAGCGATGTGGCTTGTATAGCGATGCAGCTTGTATAGCGATGCGGCTTGTATAGAAGTGCGGCTTATATAGCGATGTGGCTTGTATAGCAGTGCGGCTTATATAGCATGCAGCTTGTATAGCAGTGCGGCTTGTATAGCGATGCGGCTTATATTAATATTTTTATTGTGGTAGAATTGTCAGAGCAGAGTTTGTGGAGTTATTTTTAATTTGACTCAAGTTTTAGTAGCTACAGGACACTGGGTTATTGTCAAAACCGTTAAGGTGAACGAGCCATGGAAGCTAACGGTGAAACTGTTAAACACTTCGTCATTAAATCATGTTGTGTCCAGTTAAAACAGTCGTCTCTCCGCGACCTCTCCGCGACCTCTCCGCGACATTACAATATGAAAACCCGTGGCCTATATGTGGACACATTTTTTGTTTGTTTTTTTGGTTGGTGCGGCTTATTCACAAGTGCGCCTTATAGTCCATCTGTCATTATTGGAATGGAATAGTGTTATGAAAATCTATCAGTTTTAACAAATTTTTTTTTTTGAACTATTTTTCAAGAAAAACAAAATAAAAAAGAGGCTTCATTAATGTTGTACTTAAATTTTTTGTAATTATTATTATTATTTTTGTTTTTATGGATTTATTGAATTTAAAATCTCAATGGTGGTCAGAAATATTGCAATTATATATTTAGCCAACAATTAGCCACAAACCTGACTCTGTGGCTTAAAATGAACTCACATGTTTAAATCATAGTTGGCCTACTTTTGAATAGGGTTCATTCATTTACTTGTTGAGTACATTTCAAAATATTTCCAAATAATTGCTGCATAAATTACAATATCCGCAATATCTGTTCTCTCTGTTGAGTCCACAAACACACATTCATCTCATACTGATGCCACAATAAATCTCAAAACTATAATTCCTAAGGTCCTTTACAAGTACGTTCTGAGAGTATTCCCCTTCATACGACCTCAAATCCAATGTCTCCCGTTGAAGTAAGTGGCTATAGATTTCCTCGTCTGTGTTTTTTTTCAGACGCTGCTAAAACTTGCCACGTTTCATTTGTTCAAAGTTAATGAATCTTTTCTTCTGGATGACGGTCAAAGGCTTGAAAGGCAGTCAAAATCACTCAACTCACCTCAGTCTGTTTGAAACCAGTCCCTTTAATCAGTCCGAGATCCAGGTCCCTGTCAGCAACGGCATCGGAAAGTCCCACTGAAAACATACAAAGCCTTTTTCAAAGTTTAATCTAATACAGGTCTTAATGCAGGTTGGTTTAATCAGAAGCAAACCTCTCAGGCTTACTATTTTAGTTTTTTAATGAGTTTTGCAGGATTGATTTCACTGCCAGCTCTGCTCCGACTCACAGATGAGTTCCAAACGTCCACACACGCGGAGATGGCGTCGGTTTGGTCCTGTTTCGGTAGATTCTAACCGATGACAAAAAAACACTTTTCTCTCCACTCACCTTTAGATTGGTGACATCAATCTCCCAAATGTGCGGTTCATCTAAGGCGGCCCAGGAATTTACGGGAACTAGTGGTGGATGGTTTCTAACAGCTACGACGCGGGCTCTATCGATGAGCTTGGGCATCAGGCAGAGGGGGATTTAGTGTCTTGCTCAGGGACACAACGACAGCAGACGTCAGTGGGAGTCGATGGAGTAGGCTGTGGGAGGGATCAGACCGTCGATTCACCAACAACAGATCAGAAAATCAAACGGTTGAGAGACAGAGCCATTGGTCCAAAAAGGGCACATGACCAATGTCCATAAATGTCATAATTTCTGTTAAACGTACTGTAGATCAATATGGATAAATGGCGCCAGTTTAAAGCCAAGCCCAAACCCAGTCAAAGCAGTTTAAAAATCCGTGTTGTCGGCCCCTGGACAAGTCTGGTGAGGTAAACTCATAAGTTTGGACACCCCCTGCCCTACATAGATGAGTGACTTTAGCATTTCCTCTCAACTTCTCATTGTTCCGCCTTAAAATCACCCAATTACCCTGTGTCCTTGTTAACATTTCACAGCCCGTCTTTGTGTGTGTGCGTGAGTGAGTGTGTGTCTCTGTATGTGTTTTTGTGTGAGTGTGTGTCTCTGTATGTGTTTTTTGTGTGAGCGTGTGTCTGTGTGTGTCTCTCTATGTCCTTGTGTATGTGTGTGTCTGTATGTGTTTTTTGTGTGTCTCTGTGTGTGTGTGTGTCTGTGTGTCTCTGTATGTGTCTGTGTTTGTATCTGTGTGTCTCTGTATGTGTCTGTGTGTGTCTCTGTGTGTGCCTCTGTGTGTGTGTGTGTCTGAGGAGGTGATTTGTGCTTTGGTTTCAGAATTAGCACTGCAGGGCTAATAGTGGCTAATGTTAGCGGAGGTCGTGTTAAGCAGCAGTTTGTGTAAATGTCAGTGATGTTTTAATTATAACATTATTCTGTTTGTGGTGACTTTCTGTTGTGTTGATGTCGCAGTAGAACGTCCGCCTTGTTATCGTGGTGTTTGGACCAAAGGCTTCTCTGTGTATTTACTCAGTGTTCACAACTTCACAACAACAAATGACTTATTTGTACAGCACAGGCCATACACAAGGCAACTCAAAGACAGACACAATCACACAATCACAGGTCCTGAGTGTCTCTGAAACAGTTGTTTTGTGTCTTACAATGATCATTTTTCTGGCTTTTTTTCTAACTGTAAATGTTGCTGCAGTACAGTGTTCATGGTTTTACACTGATCCAGAGCAGAGCAGAAATAATGGTCCCAACCAAACTGAATGTCTCCGACGGGGATCAATAAAGTATCTGTCTATCTATCAAAACAGATCAAGCGGACTTCCATTGAAGGAAAATTCTAATGAAACATTTTGAATTTCACTCTGAACCATCCATCCATCCATCTTCTTCCCCTTAATCCATTTCTGGGTCAGGGGGGTGGCAGTCAGAGCTGCACCCAATTCACATAGCACCAGCCCCTCACTGACCTTCTGCAGGTGGTGAGTCCACAGGAGGACGGCTGCTCTGTCAGTGACAATACAGCCTTGATTTTTCAGCGGGGGCTTCAGGCAATGCAGGGTTGAGTGTCTTGCCCAAGGACACAACGACAGCAGTCATCAGTGGGAGTCGGTGGAGAAGGTCCCGTGGTGGGCTTGAACCCACGACCTTCAGGCTCAAAGGCCAGTGCTCTACCAACTGAGCTACTGTCGCCCTGTCACTCTGAACCAGAGCGGAGAAAATGGTCTGAACCAAGCTGATTCTCCACCAGTCCTGCTCCACCCAGCGGCTACACCACCTCTGCTGCTGCTTTATTTTAGTTTCTACTACTGAGATTTCACCATATGGCCAATGTATAGTCTCTCTCTCTAGTCTTTCTCTGGTCTTTCTCTCTAGTGCCTCTCTGGTCTGTCTCTCTCTCTGATCCCTCTCTTTGGTCTCTCTGGTCTCACGCAGAGAGAGGCCAAAGTCTCTCTCTGGTCTCTTGTCTCCCTCTGGTCTCTCTCTGGTCTCCCTCTGGTCTCTCGCGCTTGTCTCTCTGGTCTCTTGTCTCTCTCTGGTCTCCCTCTGGTCTCTCTCTGGTCTCTCTCTGGTCTCTTGTCTCCCTCTGGTCTCTCTCTGGTCTCCCTCTGGTCTCTTGTCTCTCTCTGGTCTCCCTCTGGTCTCTCTCTGGTCTCTCTCTGGTCTCTTGTCTCTCTCTGGTCTCCCTCTGGTCTCCCTCTGGTCTCTCTCTCTGGAGTCTCTCTGGCCCTGCACTGTGGTGGCTAGGAAAGCAACTATTATACTGAGTGCATTATTTTTTACTTCAAAACAAAGAGATTGAAAAATACACCAACTGTGTCAAGATGGAAGCGGAAATCCATTGAAGGAAAATTCTAATGAAACATTTTGAATTTCACTCTGAACCAGAGCGGAGAAAATGGTCTGAACCAAGCTGATTCTCCACCAGTCCTGCTCCACCCAGCGGCTACACCACCTCTGCTGCTGCTTTATTTTAGTTTCTACTGCTGGACACCTGAATTTCTCCTATCAGGGATCAATGTAGTATCTATCTATCTATCTATTCATATCATAAATAAAAGATAAAATCCCTCAATTATATGCACAACTAAACAGAACTGATTTTAACCTGGATTTGAACATTGTCTGGGTAGAAGTCGGTCTTGTTTCCGACATTAAAAACAGAGACAGGACCAGACCGACCTCAGACCTCAGTCCTGATGGTTGTTGTGTTGCAGCTTCACCAGCTCTCTGGGCGTGGGGTACCTGATGGTCTGCAGCGCCTCGTACCCAAACGTCTTGTCCTTCTGTTTCCTGGACGAGCTGCAGCGAGAGTTCATCATCACCTACGACCCACAGAGAATCAGCAGCGTGGTCAGACCCTACTCCTTCATCGAGTTTGGTGAGATTTGACTATATGGCCTATGTTCAGTCTCTCTCTGGCCTCTCTCTGGTCTCTCTGGTCTCGCTCTGGTCTCTCGCTCTGGTC